CCCCCCCCCCCCCCCCCCCTACCTCGTAATGGGTGGGAGCTTTGAGGCATTGGGGTAATGTTGTGGTAAGAAGGTCCATGTATACTTAGGTGGACCTGATTTCTGAGGTCTACTTAAGATTTTACCCTCAACTTTACCCCATATTGAACCCAAGAGGCGGTCTAGGCTCTTTATGTATTGCTGCATTTTCTTTATTTATTGATGCATTTATTGCTCAAAACTACATGCAGAGTATGAAGTAATAAAGCAAAGGAAAGTTCAATGTGCCATTTTTGTTTAGTTCATTATTTACTCGAAGCTAAAACAATATAATATTACTAAAACTGGGATTACTAAACTAGGCTTATTGTTTTTCTGTAAATACGAATCTCCATACATATCCATACACAAGGTTATTAACTTATTATAATCTGGATTCTAACATCGGATTGTAGGGTACAAAGATTCTACAAATTAACTTATTACTTAATGTAGTAATATACACTCCTTAGATTTAAAGTAGAGTGTTGACATATATACGATTGTAAGTTTACTGCAATAAATATACTATGAGTTGAAAATTTGCAAATCATAACTATAATGCAGTGAAGAATCACTTATATAGTAAATTCAGACATATTATACGGAGTAGTAATTAAAAAAAGTAGAAGTAAACATAACTTATGTCTCTGCACTTAATTTTAAGAATCATTTATAGGCTATGTTGCACGGTTTTTCTTCAAACAAGTGTCGCACCTCATCCCCAAAATGTTCCAGTTTGGGTATTTAGGGACATTCTGTCACACATATGTTTTGGAAATTTGAAAAAGTTGTTTCTGTGCTCTCGTCCCCGTCTCTGTGCAACTTATGTTAGAATTGTATGTAGAATTGGGTCATAAAAAAGGATTCTAGTGAACTTATCTTGATCACATGAAGATTCTAATTCAAACAAGATTTTCAAAACCATCTTGATCATTATACCACTTTTGTACTCCCTCCGTCTCGGAACTAACATCCTAGTTTGACTTCACGGGTTTTAAGGCAAAGTTAAAATGTGTAATGACTTTACCAAAATGCCCATGATGGGAAAAGGGGAGAGAGTGGGAAAAGTGATTGAAAAGATGGAAAAGTTGAGTTAAAATTTGGAGTATTTTGGTTGAGAGGAAATATCCAAATTTAGGACTTTAGGTTTGGGATGCCCATTTTGGAAAGTAAGGACCTTAGTTTCGGGACAGAGGGAGTATTGTAGAATAGGCAGAATCATGTTGAGGGTCTCTTGGATTTTACTGGGTGTGTTGTTCTTAATAGGTAGAACCATAAATTCGAATTGATATTGTGTAGTTATCATAATCATCATCATTTTCATCATCATCATCATCATTATCATCATCATCATTTTCATCATCATCATCATCTTCTTCTTCTTCTTCATTTGTTAAGGATTTTCCATAAAACCGTGTCTTCATGTAACAGCTTTACGTAGACCCTGTAAGCGGATATGTTTTTAGTTCCAAAAAGGATGTTATGCGCTATGTAGAAACAGGTGATATCAACAAGTGTGTAAAGAGGCCCCAGAAAAGGGGCATTGTGTCCCGAACCAATAACGAAACTGTGAGTCTTCTATTCACAGAATGTCCTAACCATTCATTACATCGCTTACGATTTTCTATTCTTTCATAGTGTGAAACCTTTTTTGAGCCTACGACCAAAATTCGAAGTTTTTTTTATTGAATTTGTTCGTTAACATAATGTTCCCTTTGTTGCTTTTGCTTCACTGTGTAGGCTTCCCTCCATTCAGCTTCTTCCTCCGATAAGGAAATGGGTCAGAATAATTCACCCGATGGAGATGGAGAGGCAGGAGTCACTGTTTTGGGTAGCGCCACTGTGCCCGAATCCAATTCGACGAAATCCAAAAAGAAAAATTGCCTTGGCACACCGAGTAAGTTCTCTAAAAGACTTGCTAGGTTCAACCCGGAAGAAGTTGCAGGTTTGAGTCACGTAGGCGAACGGGCTCTTCAGCTTGCCACCAGAATCGGTGTTGGAACAGAAACAACAAACATGTCATCTGCCCAAACCCCTAACGGTCCCACTCCGGATATTCACGACATTGGGAATTCCGTTCATTTCGAAGTGAATTCATCTGCGGTCACAAGTTCTAGTGGGGCCAAGGCAAACAAAGCCGAACCGGAAACAGAGAACCGCTACCCGAGATTGAATTCCAGTGTGGTCAATACAAATGAAGCCAAACCGAAAGCAGAGAACCGAAACCCGAGGTCGAGTTCTACTGTGGTGAAGACAAATGAAGCCGAACCGAAAGCAGAGAGCCGGAACCCGAGATCGAGTCCAAGTGTGGCCAAGGCAAATGAAGCCAAACCAGAAACAAAGAACCGGAACCCGAGATCAAGTCCAGGTGTGGCCAAGACAAATGAAGCCAAACCAGAAATGGAGAATCGGAACCCGAGACCGAGTCCAAGTGTGGCCATGACAAATGAAGCCAAACCAGAAACAGAGAACCGGAACCCGAGATTGCATCCAAGTTTGGCCAAGACAAATGAAGCCAAACTAAAAATAGAGAACCGAAACCCGAGATCAAGTTCTACTGTGGCCAAGACAAATGAAGCCGAACTGAAAGCAGAGAGCCAGTACCCGAGACTGAGTCCTAGTGTTGCCAAGACAAATGAAGCCAAACCAGAAACAGAAAACCGGAACCCGAGATTGCATCCAAGTGTGGCCAAGACAAATGAAGTCAAACCAGAAACAGAGGATCGGAACCCGAGATTGCTTCCAAGTGTGGCCAAGACAAATGAAGCCAAACCAGAAACAGAGGATCGGAACCAGAGATTGCATCCAAGTGTGGCCAAGACAAATGAAGCCAAACCGGAAGAAGACCCGAGATCGCATCCAACTGTGGCCAAGACAATTGAAGCCAAACCAGAAGCAGAGAACCGGAACTCAATACTGAGTTCTAGTGTAGCCAAGACAAACAAAGCCGAACTGGAAGTAGAGAGCCTGAATCCCAAAATGGAAGGTTCGGGACCCAGGTATCCGTTCGGGAATGGTTGGTCAGACCCGTGTTTGGAATTCGCATTCAAAACGCTTACCGGGACAAATGAAGCCGAACCGGAGACAGAGAACCGGAACTTGAGAACGAGTTCTAGTGTAACCAAGACGAACAAAGCCGATCCGGAAGCAAAGAGCCGGAACCCGAAATTGGAAGATTCCGCACCCGTGTTCCCATTCGGGGACGGTTGGCCAGACCCGTGCTTGGAATTCGCATTCAAAACGCTCACCGGGGCAATACCAGTGGAGGACTTCCTGCTGTGCCGTGGGCCCCGCCGGGACCCTTTGTTGTTTCGCGATGACATGGCATCCCAATCTGCACCGCCGGCGAAACGCCCGCGGAAGGAGGGCTAAGGCTGAATTTTGACTCCTCCCATTGAAAGGTACAGCCTTGCTAATGTTGTTGTATCAAACAAAGTGTTTTTTTCTTCAATGTTGTTTTGAACATCTGCAGTGAAGAAATAGTACTATACTATAATATACTAATACTAGGATAGTATATTAGTGTCTGTTGTACTAGGATCAGTAACAATAGAAGTTGACAACTTCCTTTGAGAAGAGAAAATATTGCCAAAACAATAACATTTTCTCAAGTCCCAAAACACTCCATTCTCAACATAATACTCCTCCCGTCCCTCAATGATTTACACTTTACGTAAAACGAAGTGAAATGTCGAGTTTTTTTAGTTCATTATATTTAAAGATTGATATATATATATAAATAAAACTTAAATATATAAAAAAAATACATCAAAACTTTTGCAAAAGAAGATGTGACAAAAATATTTTATTTCATCAAATAATCAATGAAAACATACAAATAAATAAAAGTTCTCGCAATGTTTTAATAGTGAAATGTGTAAATTATTGAGGAACGGAGGGAGAAGCAAACCAAATAAATTAAAGTTCCCATGATTTTTAATTCCTTATTATTTCCAATTCCTTCTATATTTCAACTCTATATAATAGCATATAGAAAAAAATTAAATTAGGAGTAAAACATAAAGAAAGCACCAAAGTAGAACAATATTTTTATTCTCAAGTTGAAGTTACAATGTCATAATATCAACATATAATACCTAACAACACTGTCGAATGTCAATATACATTGTCACAATACAAACTACAAACCAATAACTTGGAGATAAAAATGTTTCAGTCATATTTTAGGGATAATAACTATGTTTTGCTCCTAATTTGGTGGATTTGGGAGTAATCTTACACCAATTCAATTGTGGCACCTACGGTGTTCGATCGTGAAATTCATTGTCTCTGTTTAATCTTCTTAATTGATTTTTTTAAGGTCTTCAATGCAATACTTTGGCCATCATATTTTTATTTATTTTTAAATAGAAAGTATATATTATAAGAATATATTTTTTCAAAACTATGTTTCAAAATTAATTTAACAATGATATTAAATTTATACAAAATATGGTAATTCAATTTATTTTTTATGTAACTTGTATTCAAAATTTAAAAAAATAAGAAATCAACTTAAATAAGAGTTAAATCTAAAAAATTCAAAATAGGAGGTCCATATTTTTATCTCCAAAATAGGGTTTGCATTGTGGTAAAATGACATTTTTATGAATATTCTACAATACATTTTGGTACTGTATATGCTCATGATTGATATTGTATATATACATTTTAACTCTTATTTCAGAAATAAAAACATGACTCTAATTTTAATAAATTATCAATATTTTACTCTTATTTTAGTTTTTTCCTTTAAAAAGTTACCTTAGAAATCAAACTGAGAAGATTCAAAAGAGATGAATTGCCCTCAAGCAACTGAATGCAAGTTAAATATGAAGCAGATAAGTTTGTACAAAACGGAGTTTTAAATTCTCCACTCTTAAGTGTCAATCTCCCTCAAGCAATTGAATGCAACAACAAATGAAATTTTGGACGAACCATTTATTTATAAAAAAGTATTTGATAAAAATTTCTGACCAAACTTTTAAACAGTTTGCTGCATAATTTTTTTTAACAATATTTATTTTTGCAAATGAGGGATTACCAAGACTAACACCTTTTTTTACGAAAAAAACTAACAAAATATTTTTGTTAATAAGATATATTTAAATTAATGTGATTCGATAAATGCAAAAGTTTGGACCATGCTCATCTACAAAATTGGATACTAACGTCTAAAATAAAAAAGTTGTAAGTGTTAAGCTACAACTTGCAAAGTATTTTAAGATAAATATATATATATATATATACACATATATATATATATATATATATATATATATATATATATATATGGAGGCAAGTAAAAATTTAATCTTTGACTAAACACCAATTCTTAAATGAAGCTTGATACTCCCTTTATTCAAAATTAATGATCTCACATGGCACGTTTAAAATCTCATCTCTTTAAAAAATTCACAAATATTTATAGAAATAAAATATACAAATTACATACTCTAAAATTTTATTTAAAAAATTCTATGAAACAAGATATATCAAGAATATTTTATTTTATCATATAATCTATGAAAACATTAATTTAGGATGAAGGGAGTAATAAATTTGGGCTAACAATCTCTGTGATGTTCCGTTTCCATTTAAGTTGCATGTCTACTATTGATATAATAAAACTTTGGTATAATCAAACCTGTAAATAACAAGTTGTCTACTATTGTTTACACATTTTCATTACTTATTTGAAAATATGGTATAATCTTGTCACCATTTATTTTGTAGATCTTTTCTTGTAGTTTTAAATATATAAATTATAGTTTTTAATTCCACACCTTTAAAATAAATTGAGTTGAAAATAATTTTAATCAAACCCTGTAAATAACAACAAGTGATTTAAATTTGAAGGAAGAAATTAAAAAATTAAAAAATCGGGCCACGTAATGTTAGTAATTAAGTGAAGGATATCGGAATAATGAGGATGTTGTACTTCTAATGAAAAGGGTAATATAGTCCATCTTTGTACCAATTAAAAAAAAAAGAGGAGTGCTACGGGACAGAAGTACGTAATATTTCTTTAAAAATATTAGATCCGGGTCGAAAAGGCTACTTTGCCCTCCTTTGGGCCGGCCCCGAGTACCATCTCCAATCCCCTGGGCCGGCCCCGAATACCATCATATGCAATTACAAATGTATTTTTTTTCTGCCATTGTAGTGTTTTTTCTGTGTTTATAAGCTGGTCAAAATTACAACTGTGTTTTTTTCTCCCGTTGAAATCTTGGGATCTATGCATATTACCCTGTATTTTGAAATACAATGAAGCTGTTTCAAGTTTTCCATCATCTCCGATGGAGCCAAAATTTCACATGTTTTTGGCTTTGGGGTGTGATGGAATAAATCAAAATGGATATCTAAACTATTTGCGCTTCTTTAATTAATGAAGTAGCAGTTAGTCAAGCAATGCAACTTTCGACGTTGAGCCGGGGGTCTCTTTGGAAACAGCCTCTCTACTTTCGAGTAGGGGCAAGGTCTGCGTACACACACCCTCACCCTCCCCAGACCCTACTCTTGTGGGATTTAATTGGGTTGTTGTTGTTGTATGAAGCTGTTTCAATTAGGCCCTTGTGCATTTACTGCCCAAACTTCATATAATGTAAGTATCAAGAAAGATTATTTTGATGTCTTTAATTCAATCCATTATGCACCCCAAGCTAAAACATTATTTCTTATAAATAAAAAAAAAAACTTTTAGCTCTATTGGCCATGGAAGCAATCCATAAGATATCCAAAATAAAGTAATTCATTGCTGCAGTAAATATTCCAGCAAAATAAGGTCACCTGATTGTCTTCATCTAATCTCTTGCAAACTCAGCAGTAAAAAAAAAAAGAAAAAAAATTAACCTCAATAACCTTACCATTATCAGTCTTCTTCAGTAATGGCCAGTTTTCCTTCAGCAAACTCACAACTTTGAATGGCAATGCTGAGCTGCTTCTGAATCTTTTTCACAACGAAGACTTCGGGTTCCTCGCATATATTGACCACATTACCCCTCCGTCCAAGCCTCCCCGCCCGGCCGGCTCTATGGGCATAATGGACAGAATCGGTCGGTAACTCCAGATTCACAACAAGGTCGCATTCCGGCACGTCCAAACCTCTTGCAGAAAGCTCACTGGTAACCAACACCCTCACATCTCCACTTTTAAAGCTCTTCAAAACAGTCGACCTCGCCAGCTTGCTGAGGTCCCCATGCAGTTCTGCAGCTTTCATGCCGCGAGCTTCAAGTTTGTGAACAGTATCCTTCAGTTGCTTGGTATGGTTCATGAATGCAATGACGGATTTGCCCTCCAGGGCATGAACACACCTTCTCAGCATGTCGACTTTGTGTTGAATCCTCGTGACGCAATAGTAATGGTTTAGATTGGGAGGTAGGGTCAGCACAGCTGCTGGCTGAGGAGCCTGCAGTGAGTTGGAAGGCTGTAATGCAAGAGGAGGAGGCATGGAGTGAAGAGGAAGCACACTGTTGGCTTGGACGAGGAGTGGGTCCCGTCCCCAGCTTTGAGCAGCTCTTATGACCGAGAATGGCACTGTTGCAGAAACCATGATCGTCTGGCGGGAAGCTTGGTTCTTCACAAGCAAACTGCTTGAGCCATGGGGTCCTGCACCACTAGAGTGTAAATTGTAAATCAGTTAGGCTTATATATATTTATATGATCATTCTTGGAAGGGACATATAAAGCTGACCCCATAAATACAAATGAAAGGTTCCTTGCATTCTTGATTCATTGTTAGTTGGATAGTCATGATGTAATGCTAGGTATCACTCACTCATTACATATGACAAATTTAAGAAGTAAAACTTTTCTTTTAATGATAATACTCCATCGCCAAAGTCGTGTTTTAAAATTTTCGTTTTTCCAAAATGAAAAGTTCAATTTAATCATACGATTCTAATATACGCGTTATTTGTTGAGAACTTCACAAAAAGTGACATAGCCAAGCTACAGAAGATACCATAAGGAAATGTGTGTTTGATAATTGTTTACAATTAAATAGGTCGAACCGCACCAGATTTTGTGGTCCCCACGTGATCCAATATCCGTTGCATGTCTTCCCGGAAATTGAAAGCAAGAAGCTCATCAACTTCATCTAAGACCAAGTAACGGCATCCGTGCGTGTGGAGCTTTCCGGATGCACTAATCTCTGCAATTCGCCCTGGAGTGCCGATCACCACAGATGGTTTATTTTTCTTGAGTGCTTCTTCTTGTCTAGACCGGTTCGCCCCACCCACAAGCTGTTGAACCATCTTCCTATCAGGTCCCAAAAGCTTTTCGGCTTCCCTAACAATCTGCATGCCAAGTTCCCTTGAAGGAGCCACAATCACAGCTTTTATATCTGCTCTGCTTGAAGAGGCTTTTTCACCATTGATGGGGAAAAAGACATTGGAGAGTATTGGAAGAAGATAAGCCAATGTTTTTCCTGAACCAGTGTAGGACTGAATCACGACGTCGTGATTTTCCAAAATTGTTGGGACCGCAGCAGCCTGAACATCTGTTGGATCTTTGAACCCTTCCTTCTCGAGTCTCTCGATTAGTAATGGGGGAAGGCCAAGGTCAGAGAAAGACTTTGCAGCAAAGGGTGCTGCTCCTTCCCCTGTGTCTACGGACTTTGTATCTTTCACTCCAATGCTTCTTCCACTGTTTATCTTTTTCTTTAAATTACCCTTAGGGTCCCTTGGCACTCCAGAAAATACTAGGGGGAGAATATGAGCAATATAATAATTAGAAGAAAAGAAACTGTGAGGGAAAATAAAAGAAAGCCTAAAACTCAATCCTTTTATATATATCTTGATACTCAATTTAATTTGTTTATGCTTAATATATACCTTTCCGTCCCAAAATAAGGTTCTTGCTTATACATTTGAAAATCTATTTAGAATTTAAAAATGAAAATTATATATTTTACAACATCAAAAGTTCTACAAAACAAATGGTGACTTGAATATTTCAGTTTATTAAATGATCCTTGAAAATGAGTAAAGACAAACCTTATTTTGGGACGGAGGGAGTAGAGGCTTAGGGAACTTAGGCCCTATTTGGTTGCATTATTCATCTTATTCTTCTTACCAATAGATTAAGTAGCATTTGACTTAACCTTTTGCCAGAAATCGATTATACCAAACACTTCCCTTTTCAGAAAATTCAGCAAATTTGATATTTTCAACCAGATAATGCTTATGAAAGAGGCCCTAAATTAATGTAAACGTTCAAAAAGACAACCCGTAGTCCCGTATATAGCTTTTCATCGCATTTGCCAGGATAAAACCATACGTTGAAATCAACATTTCTTAGCAATTCTTTTCCTTTCCCTATCATTTTCGGTAATCCAAACATACCCTTAGGGACTTCAGTTGTGGAAACACCCTTTTGCACAAGCTTATTTTTGGCTTTCCTGCCTTCGACTCTGTTCTTCAGTCCAAGACTAGCTAGGGTAAGAGGACCACAGTCACTTAAAAACCTCACCCTGTCATTGAGTGGAGATACTCTACTTAGCCGCCAAGAAAGATTTCTCAGTGACAATGAATCGCCAAAGATCTGAATTGCCCTTGTTGCATATAAAGAAGGCATAGCTTCAGGAATGGTAGGGTTACTCCCTTTAACAGTGGAATGTTCCGCCTTTGCAGCCTACAATTCAAACCAAAGTATTAGATATAGACTTTAAAGTTTAGTTTCATGGAGACGGGGATGAGCACTTATACGGGGATGGGGTCGGAAACATGGAAACACCAACAGCTTGTTTGCTGAGCTGAGGAGATATGGGTTCTCATAGCTCCCGACATGAGAACCCATTTGCAGATCTTTGGTGAAGCCTAAACAAGGTTTCGATTTGACATCTCCCGATATCACAATACTCCCAAATGGGGATGTTTTGATAGCTCCCCAAATGGGACTCAAATTGGTACTAACTATCCTGCTAGAATATGCAGAGCTAATTCAAAGCCAATAATTATGAGATGGTTTGAAACCTATTGGGAGTTGTGCCAATTTTCTATGTTAATATGCCTTGAATCTGTATTGTGTTGCCGCTACGCAGATTAGTAAACGGGGGTCTCTAATTATCGTACTGGGCCTAGCCCGTTTTGTGTGCCTATTTATATAGAGGTAGGGCACAAGATCTCTGCACTCTGGAACCTCTGTCATAATATAATCCGCCTTCGTTCTTGCCTGTGGATCCAATGTTAGTGAACCACGTTAAATCTGTGTGTCTTTACGTTTTCTGTTACTTTGATTACTCAATTACCCTATTCCGTAATAACATTCTAGGTAAAATTGAGTGAACAGATTGTGAGAGGATAGTGTTCATCCTTTATTTTAACTAGAAATGCTCACTTTTTTACAACAGCAATCCAGCATTTCTACATAAACTTTTCTTGAGCAAGCAATAAAAATCTGACAAAAAATGAAGATTTCCTAATCTAACGTAATAGATAGTTAGATACTCCTAATTTAATCAGGATGTTATGAAAAAAACTATACAATATAGCGAAATTGAAGAAAATATATATATGCGGAGTATATTAGCAGAGTAAAAATTAATCTGAACTTAATAAAATTAGTAAAGGCGTCTGATAATTGAAACGAGACATAATTTCTGCTTGAGAACATTGGATAAGGCAGGCAGCCAGCGAAGGGGATGAAGATGGCGCGTAGTAAAGAGAAATACCTGAGGTGGTGGAGAACGGTGAATTGTGGAATTATCAGAATGTGAAGACCCTAAAATTAATTTGAAATATAGGGTTGTCTTTGGTAGGGGGAAAGTAAGGTAGAGTCGCCTATTATTCATTTTGAGGTAAGATGTACTCATTTTTCGCACAAATATAAGTGTTCATTTGAAAAAATGTACTACTCGTTTTAAATTTAACAACTAAAAATTAAAATATAGAAACTAAAAATCTAAAATTTATTTTTTAAAATTTCAAATTTCAAATTTCAAATTTCAAATTTCAAATTTAAAATTTAAAATTAAAAACGTATATTTAAAATTTAAAATTTAAAACGTATATTTAAAATTTAAATTTTCAAATTTAAGACTTAAATATTAAGTTTTAAATTTTCAAATTTAAAATTTAAAACATAAATTTAAAATTAAAAATTAAAAACTTAAATTTTAAAATCAAACATTTAAAATTTAAAAATTAAAAAATTTGCATTTATAAATTTAAAATTTAAAATTTAAAATTTAAAATTTAAAATTTAAAATTTAAAATTTAAAATTTAAAATTTAAAATTTAAAATTTAAAATTTAAAATTTAAAATTTAAAATTTAAAATTTAAAATTTAAAATTTAAAATTTAAAATTTAAAATTTAAAATTTAAAATTTAAAATTTAAAATTTAAAATTTAAA